AATAAGAGGAGGAAATGGTGTCTTTGTGTCAGGCAAGTGGCAGAAACGTGGGACCAAGAGACTGCGGAGCCTTTCCACTTCAGACAGCAGGTGCTCTCCAAGATGTGGTTATGGCAACAAAATAAATGATGGATAATTGCTTTTGTGACAACTTGCCAATTAAATTAGACTCAGCAGAATAACATAATGACAATTTGTTATGCTCTGGTGGGCACTAACACACCAATCATAATTAAATGCTATGACTGAAATAGAATGCTGCTGTACACAGGAATATATAACCCCAATTCCCTCCCAGTGAAACATTATAGGTTCAGACTTGATTTCAATTTCTGGAGGATAATAGCATTAGTGCACATCAGAATGAGCCTGCAATATGCAAACAGGCAGCGGCGGCACAGGGAGACAGACAGAGCCAAGGACAGCTGAGCCAGGTCCAGGGAGAGCCCTCCCCTGCATCCCTGATGCTCCGGGTTGCAAAGCACTGGGGGACATCCCAAATGTGGGAAGATGCTGGGATGCTGTGGTCCCATCACAGCCTGACCGAGCTGCGGGATGGACACGGCACAGTCAGCCCTTCCTCGGGTGGTTGTTATGTGTTCATTAGAACAAAACCTGCTGCAGCACCCAGCATTGCTTGTGCTCACAGACGGGTCCCTCTGAGGCTCAGCCCTTCCAGGTGATCCAGCCCCAAACTGGGAAGCAAAACTGCTGCTGACCCTTGTCAACCAGTGGGAACTGAACAAGGAGCAGGGCAGCTCCTGGGATTGCTTAAAATGTGCTGGTAAAACAGCCTGAGCCTTTGCCATCCTCATGGGGATGCTCCGACCCCTCCTGCCCTGCCCAGGGCTGTTGCCCTGCGTCCTGTTCATCCCAGAACTGTTGGGCTGGGGATTACCATTGCATGGGCATTTCTGGTGCTGCAGAAGCAAAACACTACAAGGAGCATCACTCCCAAGTCATTGAAAAGCTTTAATAACAGAACCAGGCAGATGGCAGGAATTGATGCTGTCGAGATCTTGCAACCCCCCCATCCCAAAGCAGCAGCCACCCGTGTACCATGCCCTCTGGAGAGCAGCACCAAGCCCTGCTCCTTCAGCAGGGCCAGCACTTTATCCAAAGAAGAGGTTTCTCCATTCAGGTGATGCAGAGGTGGCTGCTGCCCCACTTCAAGCGCCTCATCCCTGGGCTGCCCAGGCCACCCTACTCCAATAGAACTCAGCGTATCTTTTACCAGATGTTGCATAAGGCAGCAAGCATGAAGCCATAATAAAACCAAGCTTAGATCCTAACAGATACAGGTTTCTGGAACATTCCAAAGCTCAAAGTAGTAAGATTTGAAGACCAAATGTGTGTGCAGGCAAGAGTGGGCAGGGGTGAATCACAGAACTACAGTGCAGCAATGCCAACATTGTCATATCTTACTCAGAGCCACACTCCAAGTGTGGCTAATACATTATCTTATATTCTATTACATTACATTATATATAATAATAAAGCATTAAAGGCTTTATTACCTGCCTCAGTGAAGCCTGGCACTGGGGAGGGGAGGATCACCTGGTTTTCCAGCAAAGCTGGTGAATCTTTCGGCTGCTCCAGACATCAGACCTGATCCCATTAAATCCAAACATGTTCCCTCCAGTGGGACACATCCTGATGCTCTTTGGCAAAGCACCGGTCTGAGTGACACCATGGCATCCCTGGAACCTTCCTCCCAACCCCTCATTGCCCCAACACGCCTGCATCATTCACTGCCTCTCCAGCCATTCACCACCACTGCACAAGGTGCCACAGCCCAGGGTCAGAAGCATCCCCGAGTGTTGATCCCCCAGTATTCCAAATGGAAAAGGGCAGGGGGTCCCCCTCCCAGGGAAGCCACTTTGCTGGTTTCATTGCTAACACCACTGGGCGAGCCAACCCGGCGCACAAGAGCAGCAGACTTTGCAGTCCAGACTTTGCCACCCTGTGATAGGACTCAATGGGGAGCGAAGTTCTTCATCCTGAGATTTACGGACGAGGCTCCCAGCTTTAGGAACTGCCCTTGGAAAACCTTCAGCCCGGCTTTGGGAGCCGTGGACGTGTTACTGCCTGCCTGCGACCGGTGCCTCAAGGAGTAAGGAACCTTGTAACTGATCCTTTGGCATTTATTGTCCCTTAAAATAGCCTGGCAATCAGGGAGCGGAACTGCCACCCGCGCTGCGGGGAGGAGGGCGGCTTCAGCCCACGAAGGTCACACAGCCCCTCCAAAAGGGCTGTGGGATGAGAGACAGCAGAAGCTTTGCCCTAAGGCATTAACAGGCATTACAGTGGGACAGGGCAGGTTTGCCCAGGGAATGAGGCAGCTCCTTGGCTGCCCTGCAGAGCAGAGCGCTGGTCCCATCGTGGATCCCACAGCATGGCCAGTGCCGGGTCACCCCCATCAAACCCTGCTCCTGCAGAGCCACTGACCTTTGCCTGGCAGCAGGAGGGGAAATAAGGGCTGATAAATAATCCATAACTTCCCCTCCTTACCCTTACTGAGGTAGCTGAGTTACCCTGAAGCCACGGGGATGGGCATTTCAATCTCAGCCCAGCCGACACATCCATCAAACCAAAACCCCACGGAGCTCTGGTTTTAATTGCTGTTTTCACCTAATTGCACCAAAACACGAACTCTTTTGGCTCACATCCTTTACCCAGCGGGTTCCCCATTACCCACCAGCTGTAACCAACCTGCAGCACAGAACACCTCTCCCTGCTTCTCCTCCCAGAGCCACACAGATGGAAGCACCCCCTCACCATAGGCAGCCAAAAACCTGCCTGAGCCGCAGGGCTCTGCCCCAACAGCTTCTGACAAATAACTTCATAGAATCCCAGCCTGGTTTGGGTTGGAAGGGACCTTAAAGCTCCTCCAGCTCCAACCCCTGCCACGGGCAGGGACCCCTTCCACTGGAGCAGCTTGCTCCAAGCCCCTGTTTCCAACCTGGCCTTGAGCACTGCCAGGGATGGGGCAGCCACAGCTTCTCTGGGCACCCTGTGCCTCAGCACCCTCACAGGGAAGAGCTTCTGCCTGAGATCTGCTGCACAAATCCAGGTTTCTTTATGGTTCCCCAGTCCCAGCTTGCCTTGCCAGGCTCCCTGGGGCAGGGCTAGCAGAGAGGCAAGTGCAACAAAGCGAAAGGAAAAGACAATCAAGCTCAGCAAAGCTGCAAGGTTGAAGCAAATCATAGCACACAATAAGGTAAAAAGCTCTTTAAGTAATTGTTTGGAGAAGCAACAGCAAACAGGAGGCCACCGAGCTGTGACTAAAGCCAGGGAGAAAGCTCCTGGGTTACCACATTCAGCTCTGCAGCACTTCTCCCTTTAAAGCACTTCCCTTTGCAGCCTTTGGCAAGCAAAGAGCATCACCAACAGTTCGAAACACAAAACAGGGTGCTCAAAAGAGAACTTTTACCTTTCAAAATCCAGAGAAGGTGAAGACTTGGAGCTGCAGCCCAGGAGACACGGAGCTGTTGGTCCTTTCCCTTGGGCTGGTGGCAGTTGTTTGCCCGAGCAAGAGAACTGGGTCCAGGTGATGGCAATCACATCACAGCTGCTGGTGATTTACTGAGGAGGGTCTTGGTCTGCTCCTGAGGGCTGGAAACCCCACCTGAGGCTGGCTGCAGGTGAGCAAAGGGCTCATTATGGCTCACCCGCAGCACATGGCTCCTTCCCGGGGCCATTTCAGGGCAGATCCCATTTTAAATGCTTCTTTGTTACCTGTTTACATTCAAATTTGAGCATCCAAACCGGGCTGGGTCAGCCTGGAGAAGAGAAGGCTCCTGAAGGGGAGACCTGAGAGCAGCTCCAGTGCCTAAAGGGGCTGCAGGAAAGCTGGAGAGGGGCTTTGGACAAGGGATGTAGGGACACGATAAGGGGAATGGCTTTAACCTGCCAGAGGGGAGACTGAGATGAGCTCTTAGGCAGAAGCTCTTCCCTGTGAGCTCCACATGGAAGGACCCACTCGGGCATCCTCCAGAGCTGGCAGCCCCATGGTGCTGGGAGAGGGAAAGGACTTGCTGCTCTTTGGCATGAAATCCTGCTCCCTGCTCAAGTTACAGACCTAGGAATAAAGTTTGACCTTCCAAGGATAACCGAGGAATTCTGCTGTAGTTACATTGCTACCGGGAAGCAAATGAACCCACACAGAATCAAACCACAGGCATTTTTAAACCCTCCTTTCGTAGATATATATTTATTAATATAAAATAAACCAGAAATCCTTCTTGTATAATATATATTCTGTAAAATCCTTTTGGGGTAACAGTTTTCTTGCCTAGCATGGCAGCAGTAGCAGTGTCACCAAATTGTGTCCGGAAGGAAGGCACGAAACCAAAAGGAAAAAGCCCCATTTCCATCATAGGAGAGAGCCAGACAAAGAGGTGAAGAAGGGATCTGACATCACTCTACCTGTTGGGTTTTGGTGGTGATGGCAGTTTGGACTTTTAAAAAGGAAAACACACAAAGGAGAGAAAGCCACAAGCAGTAAATGGGTTTCATATAGCCCAAAAGTCCTTAAGAAGAAGCAAGGCTCTGGATCTCCCCGGTATGGGAAGATCCAATGAGCTCTGAATCCCTGCAGGATTGTTTCCCTATAGTGTTCTGTGCCAAGGTTTCTGTGATTGCCTTGCAGCAGCGCTCAGCTTCCTCCACAGCACCTGTAACACTGTGGAGGTGACCAACTTCATTAAGTCATTATAAAGCTGCAAAGCTCCAAATTACCTGGTATTGTTGCACTTTATCCTACGCTGAATTTAAGCAGGTGATGGACAAGGAAGATCTTATCACAACATTTATATTAACAGCAACTCTCCTCCATAAAGAGCTACAAAAAGAGGACACTTGAAGCAGCTGCTATAGAGCATCAGGCCAATGGTACCCTCCACTTCAACAGCAGGGCTAGCACTAGGCCTGGCCCACCAAGTGCAAGAAGTTAAGAAACATCTTTACTACTGCAAATAAGACACTTGAAGAGGCAGAACTTCCAATCTTTACAGAAAATTGTTTAATTTTCCATGTTTATACTCATGTTTTCCAGCTCACAATTGGACAGACTAGTCTTTAACCCCCCAAAATAATTATTAGCTCCAGATCTCATAAATGGGGAGATGGAAAAACATGTAGGGTGTGCCACATACAGAGTCAGGGAAGGCACTAGAGCTGCACAACTGAGGCATATTCCCCTCATCCCACAGCCACTGGGTTGTGGAGGCAGAATACTGGCTCCAGGGCACGTCCTGCAGCTGAGCAGCACAGGACAACAGCACAGCCCTTAGGGTAAGGGGTTCTCCTTCTGCTTTTCTGCTGGCTCTGCTGTCTGCCCCTCCTGATCCTTCTCCTGCATCTCTTCCAACACAGTTTGGAGACGCAGGTTTAACACAGAATCCCTGGTTTCAGCATCCCGATGATCCTGGTGTGCTACCTACAGGTGAAGAGAGAAACAGTCGCACAATGCTTCTGTCAAAGCGTGGCTGCGGAGAGCAATGAATGGTAACAGCCCAGCCCAAAAAAGCTGATGAAAAGCGCTCTAATTCAAGCCTAGATTGTTGTGGAGGGATAGAGCAGTGTCACTGTGTCACCAGGGCAAGAAATATTAAGTCAGACTGCTGACCTCAAGCTAAAAAGATGACCTAAAGGCAGTGATTCCCTTTCCACCTGCTCTGCAGCCACTGCACTTTAACCAGACCCAATTTCTGTCCTTTCAGCCTCTTTTATTGGGGAAACCAGTACAGAGACTTGGCCCAGAGATCACTGTCGATGAGGGAGAATAATAAATGAACTTTTAATGTTAACAGTTCAATTTTGAACAGTTTTAAGCTCTTTTTCAGGCTACTCAACTACCAGCACAGCATTCTCTGAAGAAATGGCAATCAGTTGTAACAAGGTGAACTTCTACCCATCACAGAGCAGCCATGCTCTGCTCTGCCTCCTGGGCTGTTCTAGAAGCTTCTTCAGCTTGTTCTTTTACCCTGTGGTATGTTGAGGGTTACCCGACACCTGCCTGAAGGAAGGAAGAACAAGACTCCATGTGCCCAGGAGCCGGCTCCTCTCTTGTACACCCAAGAAAACAGAAAGCAGCAGCAGCAGACCACTTTGGAAAGCAATTCTGGACAGTTATTTTCTTCTCCTTCGATACCTTTAAAGAAAATAAACCCCCAAGTCCCCCAAAACACAAACCACAACCACCCAAACTGCAAGATTTAGGCAAGAAATTCCACTTTGGGATCAAGACTGAAGACCAAGACCATCCCAACCATCAGGCCTATGTGGCTGCGAGCTCCATTCCCACCAACTCAACATTAAGGGCCTGGAAATGAAGTTTTCTGATCCACTGGCCAATATATAACGAATAATAATAAACATAATGACTATTTCAGACTTACTTTCTCCGTCCCTCTTCTCTGTAGCAGTATCCCACTGGCTAAAAGGGCTTTTCCTGTTTCTTCAAACAATTTTTCCTCTTCAATTTTCCCTTCTTGCTTCAGTTCATTGTATTTCTCCACAAACCTACACGTCAGGATTGTATTTTTACTCTCAATACCATTGTGATTCACTCACTTGGGGGGTGTGTGGAAAGGAGATGCTTCCAGTTCATTCATCCCTAAGCTTTACCTCTGGCAAGTAGATTTGTAGTGTGATTGCGACAGGTCGAAAGGCCTTGGGCCACTGCCATAAACTCTGTAAAACCTCCTGGTTGAGAAAAAAGAATGGTTTAGTTTTGCGACTCATTTAAAAGTGATGCTTTGGAGTAAAGAACAGTGCTAATTCGGCAAGGCTGTAAGGAGGAGTATTCACCTACTTCTCCTTTCCCTATTAGCTATTATATTATGCAGAGATGCTTCTCCCACCATTCTTAATCGCTTTAATAGCCCTACAATGGGTTGGGTTGGCTCCAACGGCTCCAACCCCTGCCATGGGCAGGGACCCCTCCCACTTAGAGCAGCTTGCTCCAAGCCCCTGTGTCCAACCTGGCCTTAAGCACTGCCAGGGATGGGGCAGCCCCAGCTCCTCCGGGCGCCCTGTGCCCGTGGGTAGCACAAAGGCACGCTGCTCGCACCGGCCATGGGGCAGAGCGAGGCCTCCGCGGCCCGGCGGGGCTCCGGCACCCCCTGGGCGGGGGGGAAGCGGGTGACTCACGCTCGCACTTCATCCTCGGGGTACAAGACGGGCCGGACGACATCCTTCACCTTGCCGTAGCGCGGCCGCGGCACCCTGAAGAGCGGCTCCCTCGGCGGGGGGAAGGCGCAGTACACATCGAACCACAGCGGCTTCTCCACCACGCCCATGCGGAGCAGGTTCCGCGTCCTGCGGGGCACAGGAGCTCAGGGGCCGCCCGCACACACCCGGCCCTTGCACGCACACACACACCCCCTCCCCTCCCGGGGCCCCCCGCACCGGCTGAACACGCTCCCGGTCTTGTGCAGGCGGTTCCCCGCCATGCCGGCCAGGCCTCCCTTAGCAACACGGCCGCCCTAGCAACGGCCCGGCCTCACACCCGGAAGTGGAAACGCGCCGGCCGCCGCCAGGGCACGCAGCCGATAGCCGAAGCGCGGCGGTGGAAGGCGGTGGCCTCCAGGCAGCGGCAGCCGATGGCCGAGCGCGGGCTCAGCCGGATTATGCCGCCCCCCCGTCTCCTCTCTATTTAAAGGGCCAGCGCCGCCGCTCGCTGCGCTAACGGGAGCGCGTGGATCCCGGGGGGCTGGGGGATACGGGGTGGGAATCGCTTCCATAGGGCTTTGGGACATGGTCTCTGGAGGAGCCGCTGCAGGGACCCCAGGGCCAGGACGCGGGGCCAAGGGAAGGGGGAGCCGGTGGCACCCACGCTGACCGGGAACACATGGGGTGCTGCTGCCTCAGGGATGTGGTTTCTCTCCATAGGCAGGAACGGTGTTCCCGAAAGCTGGAGCTCATCCTCTCCGCTTTACATCTGCTGTCCCACAAGCACCATTATGTCCCCGTTGCAGCTTGGGTACCAGTGGTGACATTCGGCTACAAACCATCACCGGCAGCAGGGCCATGGAACCATGGCATGGTTTGGGTTGGAAAGGACCTGAACATCATTTGTTTCCAAACCCCTGCCCTGGCCACCTTTTGGTGCTGGGTCTCATCCCTATGTGATTTGCCACCATGGTTTGTACAAGCCCTATCTGAGGAGTTCATGGCCTGATCCTGCCCCGATCATGGCGCAGGAGGTGGCCAGCACAGAGCCCATCCTGTGCTCTCCACCTTGGTCTATAGGCAGCTCCATCCCGGCTCCCTGCTCCCTGTGAGCCGCTTTCCCCCATCCCGACGGGAGGATGCGCGGCAGCGAGCGGTGCCTGGTCACTAGGTGCAGCTCTTTCCTTAGGAATGAGCTGAGCAGGGAAAGCAGCGCATCCCTGCTCCCGTCTCCTGGCCTCGGGAAGGGAAGGGAAGGAAGGGGGCAGTACATTTCCACCGCAGCTCCTCGGTGCCAGCGCGAGCACCCCCAGCGTTCACTCTCATCCCACCTCCGGGCTTCAGCCCTGGGCTTCTTAATACATGGGCTCGAAAGAGCCTTTCCCCATAGAGCATCATTCAAAAGGCACTGCTGGGACCGCTCCAGGGCTGCATCCGAGCTGCTCAAAGGCCTCGGTCCTTCCAGCTCTTTGGAAAAGCCCTGGCAGGACGGCAGCAGCATCCAGGGCTCCTCCAGCAGCCCGGGGCTTTTGACATTTAAGGCAGGAACGCCTTGGCTTTTCCCTGCATCTTCCTCCGCAGGGAAGGTTTCCAAGCCACGCGTGAGGATGGGGAGCTCTAGGCTGCTCCTGGACAGCTTGTGCAGGGGAAGAGGCTCCGGCCTCATCCCTGTGAGTGGGGGGGATGTTCCACAAGCACCTCAGCCCTGTCAGTGCCAGCACATGGCACGAGGAGATGGAAGAGTGGAGCGTTCCCCATGGCTCTTGCCCCTCTGGGAAGATGCTGCCTTGTTGCTAAGGCTGCCCAGGTGGGTATTTGTCAATGACAGCACAGCCCAGACAGGCTGAAAGTCCCCATAATGAAGGGTTTGAGATGGAGGGTTTGGGTGCTTCCTGGGGACACACAGGCCAGCCCCTATAAGTGAGGTTTGAGGGATACCTGCCCTTCCCTCACACCCAGCACGGACACCCTCATCCCTGCGTCCTTGTGCTGCTTTTGAGCTTCCAAGGAGTTGCTCACCAGTTTTCCCCCTCCAGCCTGTTGCAAGGAATGTGAAAGGAAGGAAAAGCCCAGCCCAGCACGGAGCAGGCAATTCCCCATGGGAGCGATGCTGGGACCAGCCCCTCCAGGAGCAATTCCATCCAGCTCCACGCTCTCCATCCTCACGGCACAGGGCTGGGGATGAATAACACCTATTGCAGAGCTAATTCATTATAACAACGTGCTTCATCCCACCAGGAGACACTGAAGGACCTGGGTTGCCCCTTGGCTTGTGCAAGAGCTGATGACACAGCTTACAGCAAACTTACACAGCCCCGAGGGGCTCCATACATTCGGAATGGAAGCCGCAGTGGTTTTCCCTTTCCGCTCTTCCCACATGCATTGCTGGCCATGGGCAAGCTGGGAGCTTCCATAGGGACTTGTGGGTGTCAGGATGGATTCCTCATTCCAGCCTCTGATCCCATCATCAGAGCCCAGCTGAAACTCCAGCATGGGGACAGTGGAGGTGATACAGGAAGGAAAGGGATGCCCAGAGCATCCTCTGTTGTACCAGGGCTTTACCTGAATCCTCGGCTCTCCATGAGCTCCTGGTGCTCTTCTTGCTCTCTCCCACTACAGGACCTGCTCCTGAATCAGGTGGAAGCTGGAATTGCTCCTGGATGGAGAGAGGAGCTCACCAGTGATGGGTATCCCGCAGCACTCGCTTCCTCCAGATTGGATGTGAGCTCAGCACCATCAGGAGCAGGAGGACACGAGCCAGGGCACCTGCAGCCATGAGGGGCAGAGCTAGAGCTGGGCTAGAGCTGGCATCTCCCTCCCCATCCCAACTTCCTTCTTTTCCCCCTGTAAAGAAATGGGAGCAGAAAAGCAAAACACCGGCGAGTGTTTCAGAGTACAACGGGGCTTTATTTGTATGAATTACTATGAAACATCTGTAAGAAAAGAATCACATCTGGAAATAATCTCTAAACCAGCGACACTCACAAACACCACCCGGTTCTCTGCTTTGTTGAACCCCTTTTGTATAGGAGTGATACAAACATCACCAAGGATTGACCACCTTCATGTCAGAAATGCATTTTGGCTTCCCAGCCCGTTTTAGTGGCCTTTCTACTCGTTAGACCTGATTATTTCTTGCGTAAAGGACACAAAACCAATCCCTCTTCATCCTCCATTCAGATGATGCTTTGTGCCTCCCCAATGCTTTGCACCAGCTACAAATGGAGTGACACCATTCAGAGAGGCTTTGCCTTGGGGACCGGAGGGTGGGTGAGTTGTTAGAGGGTGTTAGCAAAGACATCCCCGAGCCCCTGTGAGGTGCATGGGTTGGTGCTGACCCACTCACCGCAAGGCTGGGTTGGATGAGGCTTGGAGCACCCTGCTCTAGTGGAAGGCATCTCTGCCTGTGGCAGGGGATTAGGATGAGCTTTAAGGTCCCTTCCAACCCCAACCTATGGATCTACGGACACAAAACCTTTGCTGGCAGGGTAGATGGAGCTCAACCACGGGGTCTGCACCCACCACGTGCATGGCACCCATCCCGTCCCCACGCTCCAGCTCCCCAAACTGCCCTTCCCCTCCCTGGGCTCCAGGTCCTGGGTACCACCGCAGGGAGCAGAGGATGCACACTGGGGATGTGCTCAGCCCCAAGCAAGAGCAGAGGCAGGCTCGGGGCTCCTCTCTATCACCAAACTGCAGCAGGGTCCCAAAGCTACAACGCATCCACTGACCCCGGACCCAGGAGAGGATTCAGCACCAGGCACTCACTGCGGTTACAGCCAGGGCTTGGGCCCAGCACCACTGACCTGTGACGTGATGTGAAACGCAGCTCTGCCCAGCGCCAGAGCTCACCGCCATCCTCCGCAGCCACAGCACCCATCCTGCACCCAGGATGGGGAGCACAGCAAACCCCATGGGCTCGGCAGCGCTGGACTCACCCAGGGATGCTGGAATCACTGGGATACGGGCACTTCCCTCCCCACACAACAACCTCCTCGTCTGGGAGAAGTGGAATTCCCTTCCCAGCAGAGCCTGGGCTCCCGCCTGTTGGTGCTTCCTGCCTGGATGGAAACTGCGCTGGGAGTTAAGCCCTCCGTAGCTGAGAGGCGCTGGAACACGGACAAACGGAGCCGGTTCCAAGCTTGATTTTCTTCCAAATATGCAGAAAAGCTGCTTTGGATCGGGAGGGAGCAACAGCAGCCTCCTATAGACCCCAGAGGTGGCGGAGGGGAGGGCAGGAGCCCCTCCTCTCCATCCATCAGTGTCAAGCTGGGAATAAAGTCCCACCCAGGGGCTCAAGAACCTCCTGTTCCCAGCTTCACACTCAGCCCCTTGCAGACAGAGCCAGGCAGGGACATGCCCCTCCAGACACCCATCTTTTGCCCTGCATGGTGCAGCTCCAGCACTGGAGCCTGCACATGTCAAGGCAAGGCCAGCGTGCCTTGGGATGGCTCTAACCTGCTGGCCAGGCTGCCGTGACTCAAGGGATGCTCCTCAATGCTTCCTTCCAAAGAAAAGGAGCAGGCACCGACGCTGGGATGGGCTCAGTGCGGTGAGACTTGGGCTGCTTTGCTTTTAGGGAACCCAAAGCTTGCGGGCATCCTGCGGTGCTTCAGCCCAGCGCATCCTGCCCTCACCCTGCACACCCTGGGCTTGGGTCCAGGGACCGGGGAGAGGGTGAAGCACCCGCATCCCCACTGCTCCCAGTGCATCGGCTGCACCGCTCACAGGGAATGGAATCTTGGCGCCCACTTCAAAGGCGTGCGGGCTGCGGGGGGGGTTAAAAGGAGCCTGTTGGGAGCCGGCGCCTGCAATGTGGACTTTTGTTACCAAACCCCGCGGAGAGGCAGGGAAAACAGTTTCATGTGTGTTGGAGGGCTGGGTGCCTGCGTCTGCCGCCTTCGCAGCTCCCGTCTCACAACAGTTGTGCTGCTTTGCAGGAGCCAGCAAGCGAAACAGGCACGTCTAGAGCCACCTCCTGCCTTCAGCAGTCAACAGAGTCTGCCGATAAAGGAGAAGAAAATGTGCTGGCGGGAGCGATTCCTGCCTTCGCGCTCGTCACTCATGACTTACACAGGGAAGGAATTTGTTTACATCATTATTTTTAGCCTGACAGCATCCCCGAAAGCTGCAGTGATTCAGGCACCGCCTGCCAGCCCCACAGTGGAATCAGCCTGGGATGGGCGCAGGGAAGGATGCTCCTGCCGCCGGGCCAGCCCCAAAGCCAGTGGCGCTCACAAGCCCTTGTGCAAACCCTCGGTGCCCAAACACCAGCGGCCTCAGCTTGGGCTCTGCATCTTACCTACGGCAGGGGCACCCCTGGGGCCATGGGGAGCCCTGCCCGGCAGCCGGGATCACCACCAGCAGAATGCTCCCGATGGTATGTGTCCGATTCGGCAGCGAGGGTGACACCGGTGCCAAGTCCAGCCCTTGGTGCTGCCCCACCGGCACAAAGCGTCTGTAACTTCAAGGCAGTTTTAGCAATGCCGAAGGCAAAGGTTTAATTCCAAGTAAAACACCTAGGAAAAGAAGGCCTTTCCTTTTAGAAGCAATTTATATATCATCTGACTACCACCTGGTCCGCATCTCCGCTCATGACTCCTAGCAAGAATAGACAACGGCTGTAGGTTCTCCCTCTCACGTGTTCTGGGTTGGTTTCTTCCTGTGTGCAGAGTAAAGTCACACCAGATCACTACAGAGATATGGTCAGGAGCGCTCCGGCCAAGCAGATCCCACATGGAACGCGTCCTCCTTAGTACAACTGATCCCATTCCTCCTGCGCCGCCGCTCGCGCTGCTCCTCCCAAGCCCGAGCTCCGCTGGCTCCTCACAGCAGCTCCCGACCTGCTTTGACCCTCATTTTGATTCCTTTTTGGCTGATTTGCTACATAGAAGTTGTTTTCAAGCCCTGGGGAAGAAAACTGAGCCTCAGCGCTTTGTACTTCCGAGGAGAACAGCAGCAGAGGGGGAGCAGCCAAAACTCTGCGGGATTTGTTGGGTGTCTTTTGTTCCTTTTCCAGCCATCTTCTCATGAAGCTTTGGGCACGTCCCGTGCCAGCACTAAACCCCAGCGCTGGGTCCTGCAGGGGAGGAGAAGGGGAGGGATGGAGATGCTCAGCCTTAGCTGCATGGGGCTGTCACCAGCCACTTGTCCCCGCGTGGACACGCTCTGGTCCCAGCCCAGAGCAGCCAGGACAGACGGATGGCTTGGGACCGTTCACATGCTCATCCCAGGGGCCTCTCACCATTTACTGCCCTTCCTTCAGCGTCTCCTCCTCCTCCCGGAGCGGCTGCCTCCGCACTTGGAAGTCTTCATCTGAAAGGAAGAAGCAGGATGGGGCTGTCGGGAGCAGCAACTGCTTCCACGCCAGGACACCGCTCACCGCGCTATGGTCCCAGCTCCATCAGTGAGGGACCCGGACTTCCTCACCCAGACGATTCCCAAGGACTGGGACATTGGGGCTGCCAGCACATGCCTGGGAACACTGGCAGGAGGTTTTAGCCCACGGGGGCAGATCTGCCAGGACTGTAACTCGACCCCAGGAGAGCCACATGGCACCAGGGATGCACCGGTGGCCATGCTCCTGATGGGAACCCCCAGCAGGGCGATGGCGTGGGGCAGGACAGATGTGCCACGTCTGCCATTTCTTACCGCATGAATGTCCCTCGACATCATCGAGAAGATTTGCTGTGGAAGCCGCTGTCCCCATCCTGTGCCCTCTGCTAAGGAAAACCAGGACATGCCCGGGGTACCACAACTGCCCTTCCCATGGGAGCCAGCCAGAGGCTCCGGGTAGACCACAGCCATAGGGAGTCCCCATGAACACCCAAGTGGGGGTGCCCCCCCGCCCAGCTCCCGTTCCCTTGCAGGATACACCTGGTGCTTCAACAAGTGTTTTCTCTTCGACTTCCTCATCTTTGTCTTCTCGGAGAAGGCTCTGGCCAGTTCAAAGAGCTTCTTGCGCGTGGCTGGGGGGAAGCAGGCACGTGAGGCTCTCACCCAAAACCCTGCCCAAAGCTGCCACGGGTGATGGGCAGGAGATGGCCAGGGCCAGCGGTGTGGGAGCAGCCTGCATCCCTACACCCTATGGTGATGCTCCAGGTTTTTCCTGGTACTGCCAGGCTCGGAGAGCCGGGTCCTGTGCCCAACAGGGTCACATCGGTCCCTGGTTGGGGGGGGCTGATGCTTTTACCCTTTCACTGGGATTTTCATGACCTTCCCCACCCACAACTGACCCACACGCCCCAGTGTCTCAGCAGGCTCGCACAAGCTGCCCCAAGACCTCTGTCTGTTTTGTGATGGGAGAAGAGGGCTGTGGCTTGCTAAGAGGAAAAGATTGGAAAAGGAAGAGTTAAGCAACCCCCTTGGCTTAGGATCTACACAAACCCCGCCCAGCAATTCCTCCTGCATCCTCAACTCATGCCACAACCCACACCAGGGGCAGATGGAAAGGGGAGAACTGGGGCATCAAGGTCCACGTCTCCATCTCCCATCTGTGCCCGCACCCAGCCTTGCTGTGCAGCATGGGAGCTCCCTGCCACTGGTGAGGGCCAGGAGGGGAGCACCACAGGATGGGGATGCACCAGCCCAGGGCTGTAAAATGCAGTCCCAAATGGGGGATGCACAGAGCAGGGAGCTCAGGTGATCGCCCCTCGATGGTGCCAGCTCTTCTCCTGCTGCCCCATTCCCACCTCCCCTCCATCCCTGGCAGGATCCCGGTGCCAGCCCCCAAACCCCACTCACATTTTCCCATGTGTTTCAGCTTGTCTCTGAATAAGGCATCGTCAGACACAGCACCGCCGGCCTCGCTGGGCGCAGAGGGGGCTGCGTCACCTGGAAGGCAACCATCTGGTCACTGCAGTGTGTGTGCAGCAAGGGGCATCCACAGGGATCACTGCCGTGACCCAGTTCCAGCCCTGCCACGAGCGGAGCCGAGCGAGAGCAGGCAGGGTGAGGGCTCTGGCACACCAGGGGTGGCTCTGGAAGGGGACCCTTGGTGGATGTAACCCAAGACCACAGGTCCGGGTGCCCCTGAGCACCATGTGCCCGGCCGGAGCAATGCCACATGGAGGGGGCCATCGATGGACACCAGCTCTAACGGTGACTCTGGACGGCTGCTCCACTCACTGAGGTTAATCAGGATTAGCCAGGAACACTCATTACACCTCCCAGGCACAATCCCCCACTCCGGCCATGACCAGAGAGGGCTTTGACACCCCTGGGAACTGGATCCCAGCTCCCACCACAGGAATGGAGGGAAGCAGGATGCAGGACTGGACAGAAGCAGGATGCAGGAGCACCGCCATGTAGGGAGGGCAGCACCAGCCATCACCCATCAGCTCCTCTCCCATGCAGGGGGATGACAGAAGGGAGGGCTCAGCCAGTTTCCCTCCCCACAGCCACTTCAGAGGGCAGAGGGCTGGGAACACAGGAGCTGCGGGGCATCCCGCTGCTGAGAGGTGATGCTCAAATCCAACTTGGAGGTTACCTGGTAACAGGGAGGAGCAGCCGAAGTCGTTGCTGACAGCAGCACTGGATGACTTGGACTTTTTTGACTCATATTTCAATCGATCTGAAAAACAGAAAGCCCAGAGCCCGCTCGGTCAGAGCCCCGAGGCAGCGCACAGAGCTCGGATCCCCTCTCCCCTCTCCTCCGTGGCTGGCAGCAGTGCCAGGGAGGGGAAGGGCAGCTCTTCACCCAGCAGCAGAAGGGGAGGGCACAACGGCCAGGCTGGGCTTGGAGGGCACTTCCGAAGCTCCTTGCTACAGATCATTACAAGGGCACATAGGGATACAAGGGGGAATGGCTTCAAGCTGACAGAGACTGAGCTGAGCTCTTAGGCAGAAGTTCTTCCCTGTGAGGGTGCTGAGGCGCTGGCACAGGGTGCCCAGGGAAGCTGTGGCTGCCCCATCCCTGGCAGTGTTCAAGGCCAGGTTGGACACAGGGGCTTGGAGCAAGCTGCTCTAGTGGAAGGTGTCCCTGCCTATGGCAGGGGTTGGAGCTGGAGGAGCTTTAAGCTCCCTTCAACCCAACCCATTCCACGATTGAAGGGTTTTGCTAGGCTTTGCCAGAGAGACGAGCAGGGGGAGGAGAGCCTCCGGGCAGGCAGCTGAGCACCAGGAGCAGGCCACCACCAAGCCCCCTCCTGGGCTGGCTCTGCTTTGGCAGGAGCCACGCTGCCGCATCAGTGCCCTTCCCACCTCTCTCCAAGGCGAGGAGGAAATCCCGGTTCCTCTGGAGCTCCCTCATGAACTCTTCGTTCTGCAGGAAGAGCGCGATCCGCTCGTCCTCCAGGTACTGCTTCCAGCGCCGCTCCTGCTCCAGCGAGCCCTGGCCCCGCGCTGGGGCCAGCCCCCGGGGCAGGGGCTGCCGGCGGCCGGGGGAGCCCTGCAGAGGCAAACGGGGCACGGGTTGGTCGATGGCCTTGGTCCCTGCAGGGCCTCAGGCTCAGCTTGGCCTTTTACACCCTCCTATACCCCGCATCTCAAGGCATCATCCCCCCCGGCTGCGCTGCACTCGGGATGGTGCTGCTGCAAAGGGGACAAAGGAGAGAGCCGGGTATCCCATGTGGGAACAGGGACCTCTCGCTCTGAGACCAGCATGGAACTGGTGCCTCCATTGCAGAGCACAGACCTGCACAGGTTTAGGACTTAAAACCACGGGGTTAAGCCAAGACCGAACCTGGCGTGGAGGTGAGCAAGAAGGGTCTCAGCCGCTACCTCTGCTTCTATTTCCCCCTATCTCTCAAGCAGAGAGTGCAATTTCCCCCTGGCAAACATCCCTGCGGAAGCACCTCGTGCTCTCCCCCAGCTCCCAGGGCAGTCACACCTCGGGAGCAGCAGAGCTGCGCTCCCCAGCTGCAACCTCCTCCTCACCTGCACTATTGATCTGATTTGTAGCTGCTCTCAGAGAGCCATAAAAAGCAAAAGCACACAATTACTGGGGAAAGAAAAGGGCAGCTGCTGCTCTCCTCCCCCTGAGCCCAAGCGAACCGGCACGCTCCTATTCCCAGAAAGGTAATATAGCCCGTGAAGCTCAACTTGCAGGGCAATCATTTATGGAAACGTGGCAGGCTGCCTTTGGAGGCAAGAAGGGAGGGAGGAGCTGATGCACGGGGTAGGCAGGAGGCCTGCAGCCCCCCCGAGTCCCTTGCTGTGACAGGAAGGTCCTGACCCCACTTGCAAAGGGGCCAAGGGACACCCCGGGATGTGATGTGCCTGGAGAGGAGCTGGGTGCTGCCCGCCGTGGGCAGAAAGGCACCCACAGCCCCAAGCCTTGTGGCTCTAAAACCACCACAAAGCACGTGGGGATTCTGACTTCCCAGGGGCAAATCCTCCGCTCACTTCAGTCGTGCCATGAACAAGATGCACTCCAAGACTTCCAGTTTAATCCATACCCGGTACCCAGACGGTATCAGAGCGCTGGCACTGCAGCTCAGCGCGGCTGAGGACCGGGTTTGGTGCTCCACGCACACCATGGGCTGGAAGGGGCAGCGAGCCTCACCTGGGTGCCAGCAGCCTGCTGGGGCAGGATGCGGAGGAAATCCTCAGGGAGTTTGCCCAGGAGCGGGGGGTTCCAGTTCCTGTAGTGCCCAGACACGGGGGTGCTGCCGGGCCCTGGCACGTCCGTCCTGTGGGACAAGCACAGACAGTGCCTTTGGCAAGGGAAAACCCTCAGCACGGGGCACAGGCACACAGCAGCTCCCTGCCCGGCTCCACCAGCGCTCCTGGGAACCAACAGACCACAGCTCCCATCCCAAACCAACAGCATCAGCTCTGGAGAGCAAAAGGCTTTCCTAGTCTGCAGTCTTGGGGAGCTGCTCTTCCAGCCTCGCCCCATCACTTCCCAGGCTGGATTCCCTTCTCCTGCCCAGAAACCATCCCTGTGGAGCCCCAGCACCGCACCAAGGTCTCTGGTGCCAAGAGCCCAACGTGCAGGGCCCCGGCTGCCGGCACCTGGCGTTTCTGAGCAGAGACAAGGGCTCCCCACCCCACTAGCTGATTTTTGCCATTCCACACGCTGCTGGAGCAGCTCCCAGGCCCCTCAGCTGTTCACTTCTTAGGGCCTCGGGGGGATCTTTTAGCCAGCTGTGAGCTTCATTCATCTCCTTTGGCTTTGTCTCACCCAGAGACTCTAACAGACTGCTGCCACATTCCCCTTGCTGGGGGAGCCAACACACAGCAGGTCCCCCCCCAGCACCAACACAGGGTGCAGGAGGCTGGGTGCAGCCGTGGCGTGGGGCTGGGGGCTCACCTGGGTGGTGGGGTGGGAGGTGCGCAGGGGAAGCGGCTGCCCAGCGCCTGGCTCTCGTAGGCAGGGGGGGAGTAGACAGGAGGGGGCTCCTCGTCTGAGCTGTCCGGCTCCAGGGTCCGCTCCAAGATCTGCAGGGAGAGGATGGGGTGAGGGTGAGCAGGGGGAATGAACAGGTTGGACCCCTGTGCGTGGCAGCAAAGCCACTGAAGAGAGGATGGGGCAACCTCCTGGCACTGGTCCCCCTGCATCAGGGGGATTTTGGTGGCGTTTGGAGGTGCTGGTCTCAAGGGACAAGGCATCACATTTAGGGTGAGTTTGAACTAGATGATCTTAAGGTCCTTTCCAACCCTAACCATTCTATGATTCTATCAAGCCTGTTCCTGGGTTCACAGCAGCTGACTGCAGCCTGACTTCAGCAGAAGGGTCTCTGTTGGGTTTTGAGGCGGGAGGGAGGGAGGACAGCGGTTTGGCTTGAGCCTCAAGCACCATCCAAGACAAAACCACTCAGGCTGCACATTCCAGACCCGCTGAACTGGGCACCCAAATCTCTGCCTGCCTGTACCAGCTGAGCAGCACCATGTCCAGGCAGAAAGGAGGCAGGATGAGACTGGGCTGCCTGCTCATGATGGAGCCAGGACCCGTCCCCCCCATAGCCACGTGTTGAGGACCACCGGCGTGGGTTACCTCGGGGGGGATGCTGTCCTCCGAGTCCGAGCTGTCATCGCAGCCGCTGCTGTCCAGGTTCATCTGCAGGAGCTGGTCGATGGTGGCATCCACGGCGCCATTGTTGGCTCTCAGGACGCACTCGATGATGTCGTAGTCCATGCTGGGGAACATGGTCTTGAAGTCCTCCATGGCCTGGTTGAACTCCAGGCGCCGGACCTGCCTGGCGGGCCGGCTGTTGTTGAGCTCCTGCGCGGAGGAGCCGCTGCCGCGGGCGCTGCCGTTGCTGCTGCTGCGGCGGAAGAGGCTCGTCATGGCGGCGTTGGGGGCCACGGGTCACGGGGCACGGCCCCGGCAGCCGGCAGGGACCATGGGGTGGGCAGCGGGGTCCCGAGGCCGGCGGCTCCGTGCGTCAGCCCCCGGCGCGCTGCAGCATCCTCCCACCTGCGAGGGACAGAGGAGAGGGTCACCCATGGCGTGCAGCACATCCCCGTGTCCATAGGGGACGTCTGATTCAGTTCCATTGCCCAGAGAAGCTGTGGCTGCCCCATCCCTGGCAGTGTTCAAGGCCAGGTTGGACACAGGGGCTTGGAGCAAGCTGCTCCAGTGGAAGGGGTCCCTGCCCGTGGCAGGGGTTGGAGCTGGATGAGCTTTAAGCTCCCTTCCAACCCAAACCAGGCTGGGATTCTATGACCCATCCAACCACATCCTCATGGGACCATCCCATCCGTGCAGCAGGACCAGTACACCGGCGCTTGGATGCTGTATAAACTGTGCATGGTGCTGTGCAAACAGTTGCAAGATATGAAAAATGGTATTACTGCCCCAGGTAGAACATTTCCAGGTGCTGACATGTATTCAGAAATGCACTGAAATCTCTCTTCAAAACAAAAGGAGTGAGCTCAAGAGGGTTTCAGAGCAGGGGCTAAACCACTCTGCAGCAAACCGACCCTTGGGAAAAGCCATCCAATCCAAGATTAACATTCGCTTTAAAACCATAAACAGATTACACAGCTACTGCTTCTTGTTTGGAAATGTGGGGCCAAACTCAGCTCTGGATTAACACCACTGCTGAAACAGGAACAGTTTTGATCCATAATATCATTTCCAAAGGCTTTCTCCTAAGCGGCAGGCAGGGAGTTCAAGATAACTGTCCCTAACATGGAATTTCATCCAGAAGAAGGTGCCAAGCACACTTCTTAGTGAAATAATCACATTCAAAGCCATTAGGGGAGCAGCCACCTCTGAAGGGCACCCAGGCCCTCCCCTGCCCCTGGCCATAGGTGACAGCCATATCCCCAGTGCTCACCCAGCCTCAGCCATCCCAACCTGCTCCAAGGGGCTTCCAGAGGCTGCCGAGAGCAAAACACACTTGAAAACCATGGAAAACCTTGGAGAAGGTTCACTTCCATGGTGCTGGTTCATCCCACAGAGGAATCACTGTGCCTCCAGAGCCTGGGGGATCATTCCTGCTCCATGGGCACGCTCCGCTCTCCCTCCCTGGATGCATCTGCATCTGTGAGGGGCTGAACAGCAGCCCCATACAAAGAGCAGCACCAGCCCAGACCCTGCCCCTCAGCCACGTATGATGCCAGTGCCACTTCCCGGTGGCATTCGCTCATCCCACGGGACAGGGTGCACGGAAGAACCGGGAAAACCATTGCTCTGCATGAGGGGACGGTTCCAAACAGCGCCAGAAGCCCCCAGCTCGCTCCCTGCTCCCTAACAAAATGCATTTAACAGATCACTCCGCTGGGGACTGCCTCCATCCCGGCAGGTCCCAGGATCCCTGCTTTTGGGAGCCAGGCTCGGAGCAGCGCTGTGTGAGTGGAGCAGGAACAATCCCGACAGCCCTGCCCGGCTCCAGTCACCGAGGACAAATAAATCTGCTGGAGTCCATTAATAAAACACAGCCTCTCCTCTGTGCTCCTCCTCTGCCACCACGAGTCACTGCCAGCAAAGAGCCCGCCTTGTTCACACCTCTGGTGCCATCCTTCAACTGCAATATTGCACGGCTGCTTCAGTCACGTCTCCAACTGAGTTAGAACGCATGCACAGGGTACACACGCTCCTTGAAACATCTGGATACTCCAAAGGGGTGGGGAAAGAGCCTGGGCATCCGGGGGAAAACAGCTTATAGGGGATACACTGCGAACACATGCATGATCCAAGTACGGGAGCTCCTGCAGAGAAGCGTTAGCTCAGCAATGCCATGGCAGCCCAGGTAGGAAAATCAGCCCCCAGATCCGGAAATGAGCTTGGAAAACCCCGGATCTATTTAAAAATCCCAAGATCTATAAAGTAACGTGGTTGGGGGGGTCTCTGGCTCCCAGCATTCGACTTTTGAGTCAAATAGTTAACTATATTAGATATAAGTAAGGATACTCAAGGTCTTCCCTGTAACCAGGAGGAAGGCCACTGCCATGCCAGGCACTGGCAATCCCCTGCAGCCCCCTGCCCTGCTGGAGAGGGACCAGCTCCTCCTGATGCAGACACTGACACAGCGTGACATGAGCATGGGACCGCTCACAGCCCGTGCCCGATAGCGTGACTGAGCATCACACCCACCGAGAGCTTCTGGTCAGAGGAGGAACTCAGTTAGGGAGAGGACAACAGATTCATGTGCCAAACGAGCTCTGCTGAACATCTGCCTTCAAACAACCCCGAGGGATGGTGCTGCTGGGACCCTCCCAGCCCTGATATACCCAGGGGCTGCTGTGAAGGGCTTGTTGGGCAAAACCGAGGTGCAGACCAGGGTGGTTCCACATGCCCCATGGGCAAACGCCGCTGCAGGCAGAGGTGACAGCAATGACACGCTCCAAATCCAGGCTTTTGGACCCATTTTTTAAAGCCCAACTGCTAATGCAGAGAAACACAAACCATTACACTGGCATGAGCTAAAATCCAGAGCAAATCAAGCCCCTCCCTCAGCAGGAGTTAGGTTAAAAGAGAACCCATTAGTTGTATGTGCAGCATCTTCCCCAACTCCTGCTTGTCTGCATCAGCATCTCCAGGTGAGCAGCGGGGAGGCCAACGGGACCCCAGCCACCAGCATGGGGAAGGGGCTTGGCACGTTTCTGGCCCTTATTCCTGTGAAGGGCTGGGAAGACGCCAGGAAAAGCAAAATCCTTTGGATTTCCCAAAAAGGAAAGCACAAAGCTGGTGTGTGCCTGCCAGCGCGGGCGGGAGCACAGGGCACGGGGGGGGCGGGCTGGGCTTCCCTTTGCCTCCTGCCCCCGTCTGCAGAATCAGGCTGAGATGCCTCCTTTAGCTGGTTCCTAATGGGCTTAAAATAGTCCTTGCTCTGCTGTCATGCAGAGGCCCCTGAATGCTGGTATTCATTCATCCAGACCCGGGCACATGCGTAATCCTTCGCCCTTCTGCTGCGCCCATCACAGGAGGAGCTTAAAGGCTTTGCAAGCTCCGAGTGCGTGTGTCCCCATCCCGAGGGTCATGGGGAGCAGCGAGGTGGGAGCAAGGGCACTGATGGGGCTGGCGCTGCCCCTGTGCCCCCTGTGAGCCCTGGGTAAGACCTCGCAGGGTGAGGGCACCGCTTGGCCCCGGGGACACGGTGACAGCTCTGCATGAGCCACCTCCACATGCAGTGGCCGAGGCTGTCCCGGTGCTGACCTGTGCCAGGCGGTGACATCCCAGCTCCAGGCTGGGGCAGGCGCAGAGCCACGGTGCTGCTGTAGCATCCAGCCTGCAGGAAGGCTGCCACGTCCACGTCGGCTTTTATCCAAGCAGAAAAAGCCCAAGTAGGTTTTGCCACCAGGACAGCACAAGATGCTCTTGTGCACGCATTTAGGGTTGCTTTCTCCTTTGGGTCCAGCTCCTGCCTTCAGTTCACTGCTTAGGAAACATTAAACAGGACCAAACGAAAGCTGTTCTTCAGGAGGAGGCTCAGCCCTGCCAGCCCATGGGTGCACCACGGCTCCGCTCTGCTAAGGACTTGCACAACCCCCATCCACCCTCGCCTGAGCCAGAGCCAAGAACAAGACCTCAGTGGCTGAGAAACCCTTAATGAGGCTCATCAGGGAGCTGACAAGATGTGCACAGCCTGCGGGAGCGTGTCCTGCATCCCGCTTTCCTCCCATCCCTGCGAGAGACGCGTTCGGTACCTCACAGACACGGCCTTTCCACGTCAAGGCACGGCCCGAGAGGCTTGAGGTCAGTTCCAGCCGGGCACAAGCACAGAGAGGGCTGCCTGAGCTCGGCATCAGCCATCCGGGAATGGCGCAGAGGAGCAGCTGGATAATCCCAGGGCTTGGTCAGACCGGCCATGTCATGCTGGGAGCAGCAGTTGCTCAGCTCCGGGAGGAGCGCAGCCGGATGGGAGCAGCCAGCAGCTGTAAAAGCACCGGATCGCCAGGGAAGAGCCTTGGCACCAAGTGCAAACGAGAATATTCCTTTCCCCAGCGTCTGCTGCAGCCCAGGCACCAGATGGGATTGCTCAAGCGCCGCTGAGCCGGCCCCTTGTCCCCTGCTATTGCCACGCTGTCTGCAGATCATCCCTGCAAACCCGCTGGAGCTGGGACCCCCTGCTTGCAGCCAGGATTGGGGGAGACTCCATGGAATGCTTGCTCCCCACAGCCCAGCACTCACCCAGGGCTTGGCGGCTGCAAGCCCAGGCCTGTAGTGACTCGCTGGGGGCTGCTCTGGAAGCGCAGGAGGAATTTCCATGCACAGGGATATCCGGAGACAAGGTCTGCCAGGGGAGGGAAGACTCCACACTAGCTTTGGACGGAGCGGGCCGGCCGAGCTCTGCCTGCAGCCAGGGATTGCTCAATCCAGGAATGGGAATGCTGGGCGGCTGCAGGTGTGCCTATAATTGGATTGAAACTGTGACGGAACGTAAATAATGGGAACAGAAATCACAGCAGTGTCCACCAGCAAAGTGAAAGGCACAGCACACGCCGAGGATGTGCAGGATGGGGCCTTACAGTGTCCCCACAACCCCCTCTCTGACCGTCCCGCGCCGGGATGTGTGTGCTCACCTCCTGGGAAAACTGCCTGCGAGCAAATCCTTTTTTCCTGGAAACAAATAAGCACCCGAGGATCCCCTTTAATACCTGTTCCACCACGCATTGAAACAGCTGGGTTTAAGCCCTTTACAACGCAAAAAGCAATCAAGGGGCAGAGCAGAAGCCAGCCCCGCTTGAGAGCCTGTGCAGCACGTACCTCTGCAGAATGAAATCCCCCTCTTGGCTCCCAGAGCAGCGTTTAGGACCAGAGGGCAAGGGAGAGCCATGCAGCACTCCTGGTTGGGTACAGTGGGGAGCCTGTAGCCAGCCCCACACTGTGAAACGCACAGGAACCACGTTAAAGAGA